TCAAGTTTGGCTGGAAGCCAGATAGCGCCCCTTGTGCAGGAAGACTACACAAGATTCTTTTTAGGTCTAGATACTCCATTCTAGGTCAGTTTAGAGGTATTATTTGCTTTCTTGATACATAATTAGATAAAGATGGAAGTTTTGATTTAGCTTTGATTGAATTGTTTAATTACAGTGTTTACTAATGTCTGACAGCAACGTCTTTTAGAGAACCAGTTTGTAATGTGGTTCAGAAAATCATTCCCTGACATTCAGCCTAAAATCTGTGTCTACACTTTTCTACCAGATTTTAAGTGACTTTTATCCCATAATAAATCTTTTTATGCTTATACTATTTGAGAGTGTTTTGTTTCTTTTCCTACACACCATGTAAAAATGCAACAGTAACATCACATTTAATATGGTGAGTCTTAATCCATAGCTGAGCTGTTGGAATTTAGATTAGTCCTTCTAAAGGTAAAGCTGAATCTCAAGTTTGTACAACGTAGCAATTTATCCAAGGCATGGGACAAATACTATGTAGACAATTCTTAAAAGTACCCCTAGAATGAGCTGAGGGTCTCTCAGCAGATAGCAAGATACTATTGTAAGGTGTTCTCTATTTGAAGAAAGAAAGGAATTAATCCTGCTTCCCCCTGCTCTGCTGAAAATGTATGAGATGAGGCCTAACTTTGTAGTTCTCAGGCTACCTTATATGCATGTTAATGCCAACTCAATACTAGTATTCCCTCTCTCTTCTATTTGGTACACTGGGGTCTTTTGTTGTGAGAATTGTGTTATCTCTTCAACAGTGGATATATTCCATCCTTTTATTCCTCCTAAGTGGACTGTGCTGAGAAGCAGTTATTCATATGGCCTCTCAGAAGATGGTTCGTAAGATAGACAAATCAGTGGTGTTCAGAGTGGGTTCAAATTTGTGGAATCAGTGTTCATACAGGAAGTAGGGGATTTTCTTTATGAGAGAATTACAAAAATGTTTTAGGACAAATGTTTTACAAACTCTTTGGAAGTTTGCCTTAAAGTTAAACTTTATTGGTTTGATAGTAAAGTCACCTCTGGTCATGCTTGATACAAGATTGAGCAACTAGGAAGCATAGCATTGAATATACTCGTCCCTGCCCCTCTCCTCTTTCTTCTCACTCCCACTTTGTAAAGACCACTCTTTAATAAAGCAATCTCACACGAGTGTTTATTTCAGCAATATTTTGAGGGGAAAGCCAAGCAAATAAAATATGTCTCTCTGCTCACCTCATATACCTCAGTGCTTTTCCCCTGCTGTTGGAATACTCAAAAATTTACTCTGTACTAAAATTTGT